GTTCAGTTTAACAATATTAGTCATCGCATAACGTGGCTGTTATTGTGTACAAAGTCCTCTTGGTTCTGCTCACTTCATTCAGCATCAGACCATATAGGTCTTTCCAGGTTTTTCTGAAGTCAGCCTGTTCATCGTTTCTTATAGCACAATAGTATTCTATTACATTCATATACCACAACTCGCTCAGTCATTTCCCCAATTGATGGGCATCCTCTCAATTTCCAATTCTTTGCCACCACAAAAAGAGCTGCTATGACTATTTTTGTACATGTGGGTCCTTTTCCCATTTCTTTGATCTCTTTGGAATATAGCCCTAGAAGGGCTATTGCTGGATCAAAGGGTATGCACATTTTTGTAGCCCTTTGGGCAGTTATTCTGATTTTAGAAGGATTATATTTTGTACCATGTATTTTATTTTATACCGTATTAAATAGTATTTACTTTCAAGTGCCTATCTATGTACTAATGTATTCACAAGCAGCTGAGTTCTGCCACCTGTCCCTGTTCCATCAAGGGTAACTGTAAGGATCTTAAATGCTTTATCAGCAATCATACCAACCCCTGTCTAGATGGGACCATTTAAGCATGCCTACCACTTTTCACTGCTTTGTTGATGCTTACAATAATGAAGCCCATAAGAAAGCTACATAGAGCTGTATACAATTTTTAATTCCTTTGTTTAAGGAATTTCTTTTTTCCTGTACTAAGGCCACCTATGAAGCAGTGTGGCTTTCTACTTCTTGCCAACTAAAAGGCACAGAAAACTTACATTCATTAATGAATTATTATGAAATAAGAGAAGACTATTAAGTATTTGAATGAGGTTTCAAGCTGTATTGAAGCTAGCTAGATTCTCTGGTCTCCAAAAAGAATAAAAATACTGTACCAAATACAATACAGAAATAGTTCAAAATCTAAGTATCTGATTGCAGCATGGCTCAAGCTACACATTCTTCTGTAGAGCACCTGAATGCCCAGTCTATGGAATATGAGGTTATTTCTTTTTTTCTTATGTATTTTGTGATTGTCATTGTATGTTTCTGGATAGATATCACAGAAGCCAGCAGGTTGCCAGGGTTTCCTTCTCTACTTCAGTGCTACCACTATGGTGGCACCCAGAGCTGTATCTTGTTTGGCCTTCAATTCCTTCCCTTTTTGTAGTCAGTACTATTCATTCTCAGTCAAGGGCTGCTTTTGCCTGTTTCAGTCTTTGATTCTTTCATATTCCTGCTTCAGAAACCTCAGCAACTCATTTCTGAGCCTGTAGCAACTGCTGCATACTCCACAGCAAGCTGGCTATAACCATACCAAGACTGCTAAGGCTAAACTCACTAGGGTGTAGAACAAAGTGAAAATGGCATCCTTTTTGAGTGCTTTTGAAGCTGTGCCATTCACCTGTATCATCAATGTGCCAAGTGCTTGCCTTTTTGTCCATAGTTTCTCCATAAAATACAAGATAATATTCCTTTTGTTGCAGAGATATTGTGAAGACTGAGATATTAAATGATAAAATATTCAAGTGCAATGTATTTCTTAATGGACTAATTTTAAGAAAAGAAACTAGTATTTTTCTGTATAAGGTTATTTTTTAATAGATATACTAATTCTACTCCAATTATTATAAAAATATTAGTACCTGCAATGGGGTAGTTGTTCCAATGCAGGTATAAAATGCTTTTGTTTGATGTGATTTGGAAGAAACACCCAAGAAGATGCTGCTCTGAGTGTTAACCTCTGTTGGGGAAACTATAGCAAACATAATATATCAACTAATAAACAGTGTTATTATTAATTATATTACTTAGAAGGTGAGAAAACTTGCAAATAGCAGTTGAATGTACAGAGAGCTTAAAATGATCTTGGAATAATATCTAAATACATCTTAATTGAAAAGAAGAATGATTCCTTTTAGGACAGAACTAAAATTTGGAATGATTATATATGGACTTTTACATATAAAATTAGATACCTTTCCTAACTTTTGGCCATCTTGGCAAATCATAACATTTTAGAACTGAATAAATAGGGTGAAGACTCTGATTCCTTATTTTTCTTAACTTTGTCCTCCTTTTTATGCTCAATTTGAGTTTTTTTTTTCTTTGTATAGAGCTGTGATCCTCCTTAAATAGAAGTTCTGGGAGGAGTCATTCAGTCTGAGAGAGGGGCCCCAGAGGCTGAAGGGCTCTACTTTGGTGGGTGTTTCAGGGCTGAAGTAATCTTCCAGGATGAAATTTCTGGGTCATATGGAGAAGTCCTGAGGGGTGTATCCAATTGGAAATGAAGAGAATTATGTAGTGACGTATTTGGAGGAGGATCTTAAGTTATTTAGTCCAACTCTTACCTAATCAGGAATCCCTACTACAGTGTCTCCAGGTAGTTAGTCATCTATATACTTTTCCTTTAATGACTTATTCTGAGAGAACCTAATTCCTCCTGAGAATGCCTGTTCTACTTTGGGACAGCTCTAACTGTTAGGAAATTTTTCTTGAGTAAGTACTAAAGGCAGCTGGGAGGGAGTATTGAATAGAGATCAATTCGAGTTCTGTAATCCTAGGTCAGTTAGTCATCTAGCAGTTGTTAAATACTTGCTGTGTGCCAGGCATTGTGGTAAGCGCTGGGGGTACAAAGAAAGACAAAAACACAACTCCATGCGCTCAAGAAGCTCACATTCTAATGGAGGAGACAACTCGCAAATGAGTTTGTCTAAACAAGATAGAAGCAGGATAAATTGGAGATTATCAAAAGAGGGAAGGCACTAGAATTAAAGGGAATAAAGAAAGTTTTTTGTAAAAGATGGGATTTGAGTTGGGAGTAGAAGGAATCCATGGAGACCAACCAGCAAGCTATTTGTAATGATTCAGATGTGAGATGATGAAGGCCTGCACTAGGGTGGTGGCAGTGTCAGAGAACAGTAAGAGGTATATGTGAAGGCAGAGACAGCAGGATTTGACCACTGATTGGAAATGGGGTGGGAGGTAATGAGAGAGTTAGGAGTAAGGAATGAAACCTAAGTTGCAGGCCTGGGAATGGTAGTATCCTGGACAGTAATAGGAAAATTTAGAAGAGGAGAGGGTTTGGAAAAAAATAAGTTCAGTTTTGGACATTTTGAGTTTAAGATTTCTATAGTTCATTCTGTATTTCAGGATATTTAACAGGAGATGGGACACTGGGGATCGTTAGAAAGGTTAGGGCTGAACAAATAAATCTGACAGTCATCTACATGGAGATAATAGTTGAATCCATAGGAGTTCATGAGATCACCAAGTATAATATAGTATAGGAGAAGAGGACCCAAGAGTGAGTCTTGGGGGACAGTTATTTAAGTCTGTATTTCTGTAAAAGTGCTTTGTGATTGTATTCATACACTTCTTTTATGTGTCTTAGCAAATGGACTCACAGATATGTTATATTCCACTTAGTCACCAAGCATTTATTAAGGATTACTATGTGCCAGGCACTTTGCTGAGCACCAAGAATGTAAAAAAAAGTACAGTTCCTGCTTTCAAGGAACTCATATTTTAATTAGGGAGACAACTTGAAAAATAACTTAAGTACGTACAAGATGAATATAATGTAAATGGAAGGTAATATCAGAGGGAAGGTGCTAGCAATGAAGGGATAGTGGGTAGAATGAGCAAGAAGGTGGAATTTAAGCTGAGTCTTGAAGGAACCTAAGGAAGCCAGGAGTCTTGAGGTGAGGAAGGAAAGCATTCCAGGCATAGCGACAGCCAGTGCAAAAACAGAGTTGGGAGGTGGTATGTGATGTTCGAGGAATAGCAAATAAGCCAGTCTTAACTAGATCATGGTATGTGTATGGAGGGGAGTGAGGCTTAAGAGTCCTGAGTAGTGGGGAAAATTGTGTGATCAGCAGGTCTGGATCTAGCTGGGACTCTGTTAGTTTAGGTTCAGTGTTAACAATGAAATGAGCTAGAGAGTCATTTAACAAAGGGAGATTTACTTGTCTATTAGTTATAATATTCAGCAAAAATACTGTACTACTTAGCTTGGGTAGAAGTGTCTCTTCTCTGTTCCTTTGCATAGGCTGTCCCCCATGTTTGGAATTCATTCTTCCCTCATCTCCCTCTCATAGAATCCCTTTCATCCTTCAAAGCTTAGCTTGAATTGCCTCCAGGAAGCCTATCCTGATGTCGTCAATTATTAGTGTTGTTCCTTCCCCCTCCCAACATTAACTTGTATTTATGTTTTGTATTTAACTTTTTATACCCATGTTTCTCTGCCCTAATAAAATAGCTTTTTGAATTCAGGCAGTATTTTGTTTTTGTCTTTGTATTTCCATTGTCTAGTTCCATGCTTGATCCATAGCAGTCAGTCACTAAATGCTTGTCACATGGTTGGATAGGTGAAAATAGAAAGAAATTTCAGTGAAGGAATTAAAGCTTTTTCTTGGTAAAAGAGGAGATGGGGCATGGTTAGAGGCCTGAAGAGAATGGAAAAGGTTTGAAGAACAGCTTTGTGAATGGGATCGGGATTCAGAAATAAATAAAAAGATTATCAGGCAGCAGTGTGGGCTTACTGTACTTCTCACTTCAAGTTTATGGATTTCCATGTAATTATATATGCAAAGCTTCTTTAAATACAAGGCAATTTTATTACCTTTCCTATTACACCTGATTCTTTTGAATAACTGCTGTTATTCCAGTCATGAGGTCTATTCCATGGTCTCAATTTTAACCGAGACGTCTAACTTTACAATTTTTAGATTTTTTTTCATACGTTTTCCCTCATTTCAGTTGGCAGTCTTCTTGATCAAGTTATTCAGCCAAAAGCATTCTTCCAATTTTTGCCAAGAGCATATTGTTTTGATAATCATTTTCCAGAAAACCAGATGCCTTTCAGAATTTTGACAGGTTCTTAAATCTTATAAAAAATTGATCCAGTTAAGTTACTAAGATACTAAAATTCTTCACATTTGTGATTTATTGTCATTTTCCCCTCTCAGAGTCACATGGAAGTTCATGTTAATGTTTTTTCTTCTTTAGGGAAGTGGTTGATTCAATGGTTCAGCATTTTAAGGTAACAATATTCGGAGACCGGAGACCAGTTTATGATGGGAAGAGAAGTCTTTATACAGCCAATCCACTTCCTGTAGCAACTACTGGGGTAAGAAATTCATACTTTTTGTAGTTTTATTAAGATATATAAAGCTTTTACTAAGGCACTCTCCCTCCTCTCCCAAAAAACAGTAGAACCAGAAAAACACTACCCACTATGACCATATAAGAGGAAAAAAATTGAAGGAGAGTGAATGGGAGGGGGGGGGAAGCCCCGAAGTAAAGAGGTAATCAAGGATGTGGCTGAAAAGTTGATAGTTTATGTGTGAAAATTTATTTAAATGTAATTTGTTACATTGCATCTCTTGGCTTCAGGCATTTTCTCCAGCAGTCTTCCCTGCCTGGAGCTCTGTCCCTCCTCATCCCTGCCCCTTGGCTTCCCTGGCTTCTTTCAAGTCTCAGATAAAATCCTACTTACTACAGAAAGCCTTTCCCAATCCCTATTAATTCTAGTGCCTTTCCTCTGTTGATTATTTCCTATTTATCCTGTCTATAGCTTAGTTGTATGTAGTTCTTAAATTTTGTCTCCCCCATTAGATTGTGGGGTCTTTGAAGTCAGGAACTGTCTTTTGCCTTTTTTTTTTTTATCACTTGTACTTAATACAGACTTTGGCACATAGTAGATGCTTAATAAATGCTCATTGACTGACTGTTACCAAACGAGTTTAGTTGGCTGTTTTAATGCTGATTATTAAGGTTTTAATAACATTTCATTTAAAATCTGTGTTTATATCTTTAAGAGTCTTGCATTACTTTCATTTAAAATGCTTTAGTATTGTCCATGTGAATAATAATATACATTTTAAAAGTTTAATTTATATCTTTTAATAGCTCCTACTCTAACAAAGAATAAAAAAAAGAGAAAAACTCAGTTCAGCCAGACAAATCAACAACACATCAACCCTGTCCAGCACATGTAGCATTCTTGATTCCTGGTCCCTCAGCCTCTGAAAAAAATGAAGGGAGGTCCATCATTATACCTCTTCAGTGACAAGCTTGTTCATAATTATGCAGTACTAAGTTTAAATTTTGTTTTCAATTTATGTTATTGTAGCCATTGTATATATTTTTTCTGGTTCTGTAGACTTCACTTTTGTATCAGTTCATATGACTTGTCATGCTTCTATATTTATTTTCAATGTTTCTCACAGCACAGAAGTTTGTTTAGTCATTCCCCAGTTGATGGCATCTACTTCTTCTTACAATGATACTATAAATATTTTGATTTATTGGATCTGTCGTTTTGCCATTGCCTCTTTGAACTATAGGCCTAGCAATGGGATCTCTGTGTCACAGTGTATGGACCTTTTAGTTATTTGTTTAGCGTAATTCCAAATTGCTTTCTAGAATGTTTGGACCAGTTCATAGCTCCACCAGCAGTGCATCAATATGTTTGCTTCTATCATTTACTATTCCCTTCCTTTTTCATCTTTGCCAATTTTCTGAATGAGGTGAAGCTTCAAATGTTGTTTAGATTTGCATTTTTCTTATTAATGATTTGGAATTTTTCCATATAGGTATCATTAGTTTACAATTATCTTTTTGAGAACTGTTTGTTAATATCATTTGACCACGTTAGGCTTGTGGGGAATTCATTTGTCTTACATATTTGCATTAATTCCCAATGTATCTTGGATAGCTAACCCTTTATCAGAGGTAGTTGATGCAAATTTTTTCTCATTCAAACTGATTCCCTTCATATCTTTATTACTATGATTTTTTGTATAAAAGCTTTTCAATTTTAACGTGTACATTTTTAAAAGCTCTTATGCAAGTGTATACTTTTACTTTGTTGTTTCTTAAATTATCACTTCAATATTTTAAGGCATTTGTGATTTCATCTATTATATGTACTCCTTCTGTCTCTGCTTGACCAATCTTAGTAATCTCTTTGACCAAAATCAATCCCTCTACCAACATTCTGGTGATGAAGTTATCTGACTGTAGCCTGGCTAGTCCTCCCATCAAAGACTGTCTTTAAAGTATGGGCCCATGTTTGAAGCCTTTTTTTGTTTTGGTGCAGGCCAGAGTTTATGTTCTACCAACATAGTCTTTGTAGCTTAGTGTCAGCCTCATGCCTTGATGAAGCAAGCATTGGGTCTTAGTGGAGAACTTGTAAGTAAAAATTGGAGAATATGTATATATCTTGTTAGGTTTTGATTTGGTTCTTTTTCCCTCCCTACAGGTAGATTTGGATGTTACGTTGCCTGGAGAAGGTGGAAAAGATCGTCCTTTCAAGGTGTCAATAAAATTTGTGTCTCGGGTGAGCTGGCATCTGCTGCATGAAGTTCTGACAGGACGAGCTTTACCTGAGCCTATAGAACTAGACAAACCAATCAGCACTAACCCTGTTCATGCTGTTGATGTGGTGCTACGACATCTACCCTCCATGAAGTGGGTTCTCTTATTTTCTTTTTCTTTTTTTTTTTAAGTGAGGGGTGATTTGTGTGGATTTTTCTTTGAAAGGACCACATTAGTTTTCCTGTGTTGATCAGGCATAATATATAATATGTATGATCATCTGAAGTACAGATGTGCTTTGCTTCAGGATTTGAAATCATGTAGCTCATTTTGTCAGTATCCATCTTATTTGTATACTGATAGCTACTTGTGGTAGAATAGACATCGTGTTAAAATAGACACTCTTCCTTTCTGGTAGCTGATTAATTTTTACAGTAGTTTTTGTGTCTTAATAATGTGTTCCATGTTATCTCATTTAACCCTCACAAAAACCCTGTCCATTAGATCATATAAGTATTATTCTCATTTCTCAGATGAAACAGGCGTAGAAGTTTTGACTTGCCTTAGGTCACACAGTAGGTGACAGAACTAGGATTAGAATTTAGGTCTTCTGATTCCAAACTTGCTATTCTTTGCACTATGCTGCAATACTTTTATTCCTATATTTAGACCACCTTATATTTTAAAATCTATTTATCTGGCTCCTCAACCAATCAGTAAGCATCTGTTAAAGCTCCTGCTATTTTCCAGGCACTGTGCTGAGCACTGGGTTACAAATATAAAAAATAGAGCCTCTCAAGAAACTTGTATTCTAATGGAGAGATACCAAATACTTATATAAGTATATGTAGAATAAATGTAAAGAAAATAAATACAAGGTAGTTAGGAAGGGAGGGCACTAGTAGTTGGAAGATAGGGATCAGGAAAGGCTTCATATAGAAGATGGTGCTTACGCTGCCTCTTGAAGGAAGAGAGGAATTCATTGAGGTAAAGATGAGGAAGGAGTGTTTTCCAGGTGTGGTAGATGGTCAGTGCAAACGCATGGAGACTATGGGAATAGGGACTAGAAAGAAGGCCAGAATGAATGGATCACACCATGTGGGAGAGGTAATAATGTATTGGACACATAGATTGGATTATATTATAAAAGGCTTTTTTGTTTGGTTGGTTTTTTTGGCTAGCCAGTGGGGTTAAGTGACTTGCCCAAGGTCACACAGCTAGTAAGTGTTATGTGTCTGAGGCTGGATTTGAACTCAGGTCCTCCTGAATCCAGTGGCAGTGCTATATCCACTGTGCCACCTAGCTACCTCCTATAAAAGGCTTTTAAAGCTAAAAAAAAAAAGTCCTACTCATACCCTGCATGACCTGAATTCTTGCACTGACTTCTTTCTTAGGCCTCTCTGGATCATTAAGGTTCAAACTTTGGATAGGATCTTCATACCTTCTTTGGCATGTCAGGTCAGAATGCTTGGATCATTAGAGCCCCTGGGCCTGGGCTGGCCAGGTCTGAGTACTGTTTTACTGTGGTCAGCTCTAGGCTGGGCTGGGCTGGGCTGCTTTTCTCTCCTCTCTAGCCCCCAGCGGCTCATTGACCATCCATATGTTTTCTTAAGGGAGCCTTCTTTTTTTGCTGCCTCAGCAAACAGAGCATTGCAGGTTGCAATTGCCCATTCTGGTCACTCTGCACTGGCAGCTCTTTCCTCTTACCCTTGAATTTCTGGCTGAACTCTTGTATGGTTTTAGGGTAGAAGAAACCACTTAGTATAATTTGTCATTGAATTTCTTGATCATTATCATTCTGTCTGATGCATGCTTTAGGGTCTTGATGGAGTAAACATGTAGATGCTAGGCAGTCTTCCCTCCGTTCAAGCAACTATTTTAGCAGGAAGGTTGATGGTATTGTCTCAGCCTTCATCCTTCTCAGCCTATCTTCTGTTTCATTTGACACTATTGACTACTGTGTCATCTGAGTTTTTGTGACAGCTCTCTCCTAGTTCTCTTGTTTGTCTGTAGATTTTTAACCTCTTTTGCTGGCTTATCATCCATATCATACCCACTAACTATGGGTGTTTTCCAGGGCTCCATCCTAGGCCCTCTTTTGCTTCTACTGATTCTTGGTAACCTCATTAGCCCCCTTGGTTTGAACTATCATCTCTATGTTGGTGACTCCTAGATCCATGTGTCTAGCCCCAGTCTTTCCCCTAAACTGTACTCTCCTATCCCTAATTGAATTGAATATTTCAAATTGGATATCGTGGAGGCATCTGAAAGTCAGTTTGTCCAAAACTGAACTCATTATCTTCTCCCAAAACCCATTCTTCTTCCAAATTTTCCTATTTCTGATGAAGGTCCTACCATCTTTCTATTATCCCACATTGGTAATCTTAGCATTGTCTTCAACTTCACCCCGTATATCTACTTAGTTGCCATCTCTTGCCATTTTTACCTCCATACATTCAACTCCTTCTCTACACTTACATAACTACCACCTTAGTTCATCACCTCTTGGATAGATTATTGCAACATCCTCCTAATTGGTCTCCTTGTTTCAAGTCTCTCTTTTTCTCAGTTCATCTTATACATTACTGTCAGGTAAGTTTACTTAAGCATAGTCTGACCGTATAACCTGCTTACTGTTAACTCCAGTGGCCTTTTAAGATAAAATATAAATTCTTCTGTTTATTTTTTAAAACTTCTTATAATATGGCTCTATAAGACCTGTCTTTGCAGGCATTACTTCCCATTCTTTGATTAGTCTAACTGGATTTCTCTCCATTCTTCAATCATGACACTCCATCTCCCATCATTATGCTTTTGCTCTGGCCATCTCATATATCTGGAATGCCTTCTTCCTCCTAGAGTCCCTCTCTTCCTTTAAGATGGAGCTAAAGAACTATCTTTTATGCAAAGCTTTTAAGCTTTTCCTGATCTCCATCCCCCAATTGCTATTGTCCCTCTCTCAAATGACCTTGTATTTAACTATTTTGTGTATGTATATATAAACTTTATATTTATGTTGTTTGTATGTATATATGTATATATATATTTTTTTTCTTATTGTCTCCCCCACTAGAATGTAACCTTCTTGTGAGAAGGGATGATTTCATTCATTAAGTAATGCTACATTAATTGAAAAGTGAGGGGGGGAGGAGAGAGAGAGGAAGAGAGAGAGGAGACGAGAAGACTCAGATTGGAGTATTGGGGAACAGAGTCAAGAAAAAGTAACATCACAAAATCCCAGAAAGGAAAGAGTATCCAGGAAGAAAGGTGGTCAGCAGAGTCAGAAGCAGGATAGAGGTCAAGAAGGATAAGAATGGGACAGCTAGTTGGTGCAGTGGATAGAGCACCGGCCCTGGAGTCAGGAGGACCTGAGTTCAAATGTGGCCTCAGACACTTATAGCTGTGTGACCCTGGGCAAGTCACTTAACCCCAATTGCCTAAAAAAAAAAAAGGATAAGAATGGGAAAATAGTCATTTTTTTTAACCACATTTAGGATTTCACTCCCAAGTGAGGAAATTCTGTCATTGCAAGTCAGCATCTCCTCTGCAACTTACAATCTTAGAGTGTTGCCTGGGGCACTGAGAGGTTAAGTGATTTGCCAAGGGAAACACTTCCAGTTTGTGTCATGGATAGGACCTAAACCCAGGTCGTCCCAACTCCAAATCTGCCCCTCTAAGTCACTTTGCCTGGCTACCTCCCTCTACAGTAGACTTGAAATTAGTGGTATGTTAGTTGGGAATGACTTGAGTTTTTATCATGCTACCACCTCATATTTAGCTCTACTATAGAGGAATATCTCCACTGCTTTGTTTATAGTAGCTTTTTGCACATCCACAGTTATAGACTCTTGTTAGGCTTATGGAACTCTTGAATTTTTAACCTGTGTGACTTCTTGGAATGTCCAAATAAAACACTCATTTAACTAAAATGAGTTTTTTAAATGGTGACAGTATTACAGCGCAATCCAATACAACAATGACAGTCCAATTGGGTCCTTTTTCTTTTCCCTGGCTAGGAAAATGTTCGTTTTATTTTCATATATTTGGCATTTTTGTTCTTTTGGTAATATAATTTTATATGTTAAAACTAAAGTTTCTAATATGTTCTAAGGGTTGTTTAAAAATTCATGTAGAAGACCAATTGAACACAGAAAGTGATTTTTTTCTTTCTGTAGGTATACCCCTGTGGGCCGTTCTTTTTTTTCTGCTCCTGAAGGATATGATCACCCTCTGGGAGGAGGCAGGGAAGTATGGTTTGGATTCCATCAGTCTGTTCGACCTGCCATGTGGAAAATGATGCTGAATATTGATGGTAAGGAACATAATTTTAGATTGTATTACTGGTGTGACTTTTGTGTAATGTGTGTTTCTGATACTAAAACGGCACATTTAAATTTTGATGATAAGACTTTGGCAAGCCAGGAGAAGGGACCTTCTAAAATTTTATTAAAGCAATAGCATTCCAAGAAAGCCTTTTAAAAAAAAGCTTTACCTAGGGTGTACATATTCATTCCATTTAAGTATTAAACCTGAAATTTTCACATGAGAAATATCAAATTCTAACTTTGTGATCTGAACAGAATTTTCTGTATAACTCATTTTTATCCTTTTAACTCTAATAAGCAAGCATTTCTTTGTGAAATTTGTATTTTAAAGCAACAAACTGGAACAGTCATGATGACCAAAGATGTTATGACTACTGCTACTTGTTAATACAGTGCCGTTTTCAACCACAAATGTTTATTCCTTTTTTTGAATCCTAATGGACTTTCATTCATACAAATCTGTTGTTGAGAGAATTTTTCTGTTTTAATTATTGAACTTGGGAATAGTTTTAGATATTTTGAGAATGGTTTCAAAGGTTAGGAAAAAACACAAAATTGAGGTCACTGTCCGGTTTTGATTATGGTTTAAAGAGAAAAGGGCGTATCCTTAACTTGTCACTTTGAATCTTTATATCTAGTCTAATGCCAAGTTTTGTCAGTTTTTTACCTTTATAACGTATCTTGCATGTGCCCCACTCTCTCTCTTCTGACACTGCTACCACCCTTATGAATGCTCTTTTCACTTCACACCTGGACTATTGCAATAACCAATCTGTCCTCCACTCACCTTTCAAATTGATCTTCCTAAAATTCAGGTATGGCCAAGGTGTCTCCTCCCCATCTCCCACTCATTAAACCTCAGTGGCTCCTAGTCACCTCCAATATCAAATATAAAATCCTCTGTTTGGTATTGAAAACTCCTCATCACCTCCCTCCTCTCCCCCACACCTTTCTAGTCTTCTCACACCTTACTTCTTTTAACCCTGCCCCTCCCCCCCCAAGCTCTGCAGCCCAATGACACTGGCTTCTTTGCTATATCTTACACAAGATATTCCATTTCCCAGTTCTGTGCATTTTCACTGGCTGTTCCCCATGCCAGGAATTCTTTCCCTTTTCATATTTACATCCTGGCTTCCCTGGCTTCCTTCAAGTCCCAGCTAAAATTCCACCTTCTGCAGATTTTTCCCAATGAAAATGCACAAAAGAATGAGAATTGAGAAAAGGCCATTAGGTTTAGCAATTAAGAGATCATTGGAATCATCCAAGAATCAGAATATGTTTCTTTGATAAGATCTCCTTTCCAATATATATAAGAAATGGATTTAAATTTGTAAGGAGTGCCATTCCAAGATCTAAGAATGTGAACTGCTAGTTTTTGAGAAAGAAATCCAAGATATCAATAAACACATTTTTAAAAAAAGCTCCAAATCACTAATAGAGAAACATACATTTCTCTAATTCTCAGCAACTCTGTGGTTCAAGCTCACATCAATAAAACTGACCAGCATGACAACAGAAGTGAAAAGTGACAACTGTTAAAGGAACTATGAGAAACCAGACACATGAATGCACTGTTGGTTGAACTGTGAATGAGTCCAGTCATTCTGAAAAAATTTGGAACTGTATCCATAATGTAACTAAACTGTGTATAGTCTTTGACACTTTCTCTTTCTCTCTCTCCCTTAATATATATGTGTATACAGCAAGAGAGAGTACCAGAATGTGATAGAAAACTATTTTGCCCTAAAAAAAATGAACACAGGGATAATTTCAGAGAAGCCTATGAAGACTTGTATGAACTGATGCAGAATTATAAAGACAGTTTCAGAAAACTTAAGAATTCTGATCAGTGAAATGATCAACCACGATTCCAGAAGACCAATGAAGAAATATGCTGTTCACTTCCTAATAGAGAAACGATAGACTCAAGATGCAGAGTGAGATATGTTTTTGGACATGGCAAATGCAAAAATTTGTTTTGCTTGACTACACTTACTTGTTATGAGGGTTTTTTTCTTTTTCAACTCAAGTGGCGGGGTGTGAGAGAGAAAATAAATGCTTGTTAATTGAAAATATATACATTTAAATAAAATGTTAAATCATAAATTTGGAAAGAACAGTTTTGGTTAAATCGAAGTAGATGGTGTTTGAAAAGCCAGATTGTAGAGAGTTGAGAGTGAGAGGAAAGGAAGTGGAGGCACCTATGATAGATGGCCATCTCAAGTTTATCCACAAAAGGGAGGAAAGGAAAGAGACAATAGCAGGAATACATAGATCAATTGAAAGTTTTTTAAAGGATGGAGTAGATATAAGCAGAAGCAGCCAGTAGACAGGAAGAGATTGAAGAGGGTAGGGAAGGAAAGGGCAGTCTGCTGGAGGGGACAAGGTGGAATGGGATCACTTGTGCATATAAATGGGGAGAAGAACCATCTCTTCTTGTGAGTCAAAGATTAAGGAGGAGATAGTGGAGGAAGGCCTCTGAGGCAGGGAAAAAGAGGCACCTTTGAATGTTCTCATTTTTTTTTTCCAGCAAAATATGAGACTAAGTTCTTAGGTGAGATGGCAAAGGAGAGGCTTCTATTGTAGATGACCTTCTCAAGCAGTTTAGCCATAAAAGAGAGAAGAGATAATGACTAATAGCTAGCAGGAATGGAGGATTGCATTCTGTCTTATGTCACAGGGAAGTGCATAGGAGAGGGCCAGGCAGAGTGTAGTGAGTACTGTTAGAGGAACAGATTGCTTTCAGTTGGTGAGATTGAGGATTATGTAGCACCTGGATTAGACCTTAATGGAAGGAAAGTATTTCAAAAGTGGCAATGGATCAAGAGCACGTACTAAACGTAGGGGTAGACAGAAGAAAGGACATTGTGGAACCCCATGTTCGAGTTTTGCTAAAATATAGGCTCCTTGGAGAAAAGTAATTTGAGAAGAACGAAAAGGGGATTTTTAGCCAGATTGTAAAGAATTTGAATTCTTTGAGCCTTTCAATATCTGGATCAGAAGCTTGCCTGTTAATTGGTAGGCAGTGGGCAGTCACTGAGGTTTTCTGAGTAGACAGGTAAAACCTTATGTGGCACATTAGAACAGTTAGTTATCTTTGTGATCTTTCAGTGATGTGAAGAGTGACTAGGAGAAGGGAGAGATTAGAATTAAGATAAAGTTATTTTTCTATTAAAATAGTCATGACCAGATATAAAAAGGGTCTGGTTGGATGCAATAGGAAAGAAGGTCAGGTACATGGATAAAAGATTTGTTTTGGCAATAGATTCAACAGGACTTGGAAATCATTTGAATGTGTGGGGTGATGTAGAAGGAGGAATAAGAGATGATTTAGGTTTTTGAGCATGGACATTTAGGATTATACAGTGCTGCCAACAAGAAAAGTAGAAAAGAGGGGAAGGTGATGACTTTTGGTTATATTTAAGTTTACTAACTAGATATCCATATGTAGATTCCCTGTTTGGAAGGTGAGGTGTTTGAAATGTAAGGCTGTAGCCCTGAGGAAAGGTCTGGGTTTCAGAAATAGACATGGGAGTCATCTGTATAAAAGTGGTAGAAATTGTGGAAGTAGAGAAGACCTTCATTTATTCTGATGAAGGACAGGAAGGTAAATCAAGGAGAGGGGCTAGTGGGGCATTGATATTTTAGGAATTGTTTGCTGAAGTAGAGAAAGAGCAGAGGTAAGAGGAAAACTTTGAGAATGTGTTATCATGTAAACCAAACAGCAGAATATCTGGGAAGGATGATTGATAGAGCAAGGTCATAGAAGAAATAAGAAGTTACATCCCATAGAGAGATAGATAAAAATACATGTACACACACATACATATATATATATATATATATGTGTGTGTGTGTGTGTGTGTGTGTGTGTGTATGTATATACACACACACTTTGGAAAGGACAGTGTTTGATATATTTTAAAGAAGGACTTAGTCTATATAGGAGAAAGAACATATACAGATGCTATTTTAGTTTGTATCTTAAGTACATAAAAAAATTATGGTATGCTGGGAGATCAGAAGAAAGAGGTCACTTCAAACTAGAGTTCAGGAAAGAATTCATAGAAGAGGTCTGCTTGAGCCCAGCCCCAAAAGATAAGTAGGGAGTCAACAGGTAGACATTAGGTTTGCTGTAGCCAAGAATAGAGAAACAATAGAGTATAATGTGAACAGGGATATAAAGTCAGGAAAGCATGGGATATGTTTAGAGGACCTTGAAAAGTCTGATGTAGAGAGGTGGAAGCAAAGGATTTGTTCATCACATTTCCTAATTTTATTTGTGTGTGTGTGTGTGTGTGTGTGTGTATGTATATATATATATACATATATATACATATATGTATATATACATACATATATATACATATATATATATATATATATATAAATACAGAGAGAGAGATTTTTTTTCCTTCAAATTATTAGCTTCTTGAGAGTTGAGATTGTGTATATACTGTTCCCTAAACCACCTAACACAGAGTCTTGTATAGAGAAGGTGCTCTGATTTTGTGAAATTGAATAACATGGATTTTATATGTATATATACATACATATATATATACATATATATATATATATATATAAAAATAGAGAGAGAGAGATTTTTTTTCCTTCAAATTATTAGCTTCTTGAGAGTTGAGATTGTGTATATACTGTTCCCTAAACCACCTAACACAGAGTCTTGTATAGAGAAGGTGCTCTGATTTTGTGAAATTGAATAACATGGATTTTATGTGTTTTAAGACAGTTATTTAGTGTTTACTATTTGTGAAATCCCAAGCTAGACACAAAAACAAAGATAACTACATGCTCTCAGAGCTTATAACCTAGTAAATTACTTTGCTACAGAATAGCATAATTCAATGCTGAATATCATTCTAAAAATTCACTTAGTGTGTAACCTGATAGAATATGATGTTTTCCTAGAAGATAATTAAATCTCGTTTCTCCCAAGAGCCTATGAGCAGACACACCACAAACCCAG